ATATGATGAACTACTTAGATAGTGTAATGGAGAACCTGTTATGTTATATGATGAACTACTCAGGTAGTGTAATGGAGGACCTGTTGTGTTATATGATGAACTACTCAGGTAGTGTAATGGAGGACCTGTTGTGTTATATGATGAACTACTTAGATAGTGTCATGGAGAACCTGTTATGTGGCAGTGCATCTTGGAACAGGAACCAGTTTTTTCAGCTGCCTCCTGCACAATGACAATTGGCTGCAGTGTATCTCAAACACTTCCTGTTTTCAGATTGGATGCTACATTCCATAAAACTGCTATTTGTCTATCTCTTGATGGTATCTTCCCGATTGTATCGCTGTCTTCCTCTTTTCCTCTGTTTTCTTTTTTTTCCTCACTATATTTATAGAGCTGTGCTTCAGAAAGGAATTTTGTGAATGGCTTGGAAGCCAGAGTGAATGGATATCACATTGGCAACGTTGTCCCTTTCTGGTTTCCAAAGGAAGTGCAGCTTTGGGGTTTAACGTGTAGTTTCATAATTTTACGGTCCTCCACTTATTAGAGTTTGATTTTGCATCCCCCTTTTTAACTCGCCGCTCTCATGCAACTCCCCCCCCCCCCCTTTCACTCCCTCAAATCGCAGTTGTCCTGGCTTTGAGGCAGTGTTGTAGCCCCCCTCTCACTCCCTCATATCGCAGTTGTCCTGGCTTTGAGGTAATGTTGTAGCCGCCCTCCCCTCATATCGCAGTTGTCCTGGCTTTGAGGCAATGTTGTAGCCCCCCCCCCCCTCCCTCATATCGCAGTTGTCCTGGCTTGAGGCAATGTTGTAGCCCCCCCCCCCCCCTCCTCATATCGCAGTTGTCCTGGCTTTGAGGCAATGTTGTAGCCTCCCTTCACCCCCTCATATCGCAGTTGTCCTGGCTTGAGGCAATGTTGTAGCCCCCCTCTCACTCCCTCATATCGTAGTTGTCCTGGCTTTGAGGCAATGTTGTAACCCCCCTCTCACTCCCTCATATCGTAGTTGTCCTGGCTTTGAGGCAGTGTTGTAGCCCCCCTCTCACTCCCTCATATCGTAGTTGTCCTGGCTTTGAGGCAATGTTGTAGCCACCCTCTCACTCCCTCATATCGTAGTTGTCCTGGCTTTGAGGCAATGTTGTAGCCCCCCTCTCACTCCCTCATATCGTAGTTGTCCTGGCTTTGAGGCAATGTTGTAGCCACCCTCTCACTCCCTCATATAGCAGTTGTCCTGGCTTTGAGGCAATGTTGTAGCCCCCTTTCCTTGTGGAGTCCTGGCTTTGAGGCAATGTTGTAGCCCCCCTTCCTTGTGGAGTCCTGGCTTTGAGGCAATGTTGTAACCGCCCTTCCTTGTGGAGACGAACATGGTGTAGATGTTAGTCAAGCCAGTGCTAGGTTTTCATGATCCATTTCGCTTTCTTTTCTGGCACTTGATGCCGCAGCAGCCATTCGCAGTGGCTAAATTCTCGCCTGTCGGCAGATATTTTCCGTTAAAAACTTGCTGGGGGGTTGGGGAGGGGAGAGAGTTGGGGGTGGGAGAGGGTAAATATGGGAGGAAATATGACCTTGCTTTCCCGTCAGCTCAGTCAACAATGGGTAACAGGAATTACCATGGCAAGTAAAGGTGTTTGGTGTGACACACATTGAGTGGTCTATGGATTTTAACCATGCCACACATTGAGTGGTCAACCGATTTTAACTGTGCCACACATTGAGTGGTCTATGGAATTTAACCGTGCCACACATTGGGTGGTGCATGGATTTTAACCATGCCACTCATTGAGTGGTCCATGGATTTTAACCATGCCACACATTGAGTGGTCCATGGATTTTAACCGTGCCACACATTGAGTGGTCTATGGATTTTAACTGTGCCACACATTGAGTGGTCTGTGGATTTTAACCGTGCCACACATTGAGTGGTCCATAGATTTTAACCGTGCCACACATTGAGTGGTCCATAGATTTTAACCGTGCCACACATTGAGTGGTCCATAGATTTTAACCGTGCCACATATTGAGTGGTCCGTGGAGATTTGATTCTTACATTAGATGCTCAAATTATCACAGGACGGAAAGGATCCTTGCCTACTACATGACTACTGCAGATTAGATATTGCTTGCTGAGTGACCTTTAAGTGCACAGGCGGTATTGCAACACTCAGGGCATGCTCACCAGTGCTCCAGCTAGTTCAACAATTACTACAATGTAGAATGTGAAGAAACCTGCAGTACTGAATTGTACAAAGTTAAGAAACCTACAGTACTGCAATATACAGTGTTAGAAAACCTACAGTACCACACTGTACAATGATGAGAAACTGATAGTACTTCCATATACAACGTTAAGGAACCTACAGTACTACAATGTACAGTAATGAGAAATCTTAATTACTAGAATGTGAAATGTTAGGAAACCTTCAGTACTAAATAGTAAATTTTTGAGAAACCTGAAATACTACAATGTACTATATTAAGAAACTGAAGTACTATAATTTACCATGTTGAGAAACCTAGAGTACAACACTTTAAATTGATGCTGACACAGTGTCCTCTATCGCGTTGAGCGTTTCTGTAAGAACAGACGGAGAAAGTTCTCTTCTCTACCCCGACATTTACTACGAGATGGACTGAGCTCCAGGGATAGCAATGGGATGTATGATGTCGCCGATACTGTTCATTATGGCCATGTTAGACGGGGCTGCCGGGCAAGGCCTTCAGATTGGGGACCACTGGATTCCGCCACTGCGTGCATTTATGGATGACACAACTATCTTAACGAGCAGTGAGGTAGATGCCCGCACTATTCTGAAAAAGTCGGACAGCATTGTCGAATGGTGCGGAATGCAGTTCAAACCGCAGAAATCAAGAAGTTTGTTAATCCTTAAAGGTAAGGTGGTGTCAGTCAGTTTCACGGTGGCAAAGAATCGGATCCCCATGGTTCTGAAGAAACTGGTGAAGAGCTTCGGTTGTGTCTATGATTCAAAATGATCTGACAGAGTGGAGGTCCAGGCCATACATGAGTCAGTGGCTACAGCCATGCAGGCTGATCGGGAATTTAAGTGTCTGGTGTCTCCAGTTTATGATGATTTCAACGCTTCTCTGGCCGGATCTCGTATACAAAGTTAGCATGATGGCAGTGGAAACAATGGAGAGGATAATCAACTCGACCATGAGGAAATGGCTTAGGGCACCGCCCTGTCTGATCGATGTGGCTCTGTATTGTAAACAGGCTAAGCTGGTACTTCCGTTGAAGTCAATAACGAAGAGTTTAAAGTTGGCAAGGTAAGACTCATGAGGCTTTTGCGCGAGACTTTAGACCCCACGGTGGCAGCTGTCTAGCCCGTCCTAAAGACATAATCTGCCCAAGATGCACTGAAATTGAGAGAAGTCATGGGGTACACATAAACCGACAGACATGGCCTAAAGAACGGGAAAGTCGGTGGTACAAAGCCACAGTCAAAGAACGCAGAAATGTGGTAATACAGCAGATAAGGTAGCCGAACACGAGATTCTAGTCCAAAAAGCAGCCCAGCAGTCGCAGCATGGCCTGTGGATCGGCCTCGAGAGCGCCTTGTCACGAACACTTACATTGGGTGAAATGTGGCGAATGGCCCCGCTGCGGCTGAGCTTTGTCGTAAAATCTGCGTACGATGTGTTACCCTCTGGCGTCAACTTACTAAAGTGGCATGCGACTATCAACCCGACATGCCCACTGTGTAGAGCTGAGCAGACGCTCGAGAACGTATTGCAGAAAAGCCCTGGGCCAGGGACTTGGTGCCATAATAAAGTCCTAAAAAAGTTAGCGGACACTTTGGACCAAGCCAGGATGAGGGCCAATGCGAGGGCCAGTCCCCCATGCGCTTCCTCAAGGCTGGGCAGATTTATAAAGGTCAAATCACCAAGGTCGCAGGCGCTCCATTAATACTTGACGGTGCGAAGAACTGGTTATTGGCTGTCAACCTGTCTGGTTTTAAAAGGTATCCAGAATCAATCCGGAAGACAGGCATGAGACCCGACATAGTTCTACACTTTGCGGAAAAGCACCAGCTCATCCTGATTGAGCTTACTGTGCCATACGAGTGGCGGATCAAAGAAAATCACACGTTCAAGCTTGAGAAGTACTGTGAGCTCGTGGCCGGGCTGAGGAAAGATGAAGCGAACGCAGTAAACATCTTCGCCGTAGAGGTAGGTGTAAGAGGTCTTATCTCCGCTTCCATGTACAATGTGCTAAAGCAGATGGGCTTGCAAGGAAACGAGCGCAAACAGTCACTAAAACAACTGGTCAAAGCTGCTGAAAGAGCTTTGAGCAACGGAACGTCGTGGGAATTCGGCCTTGTCTGCCAATGTCCCTCTGTCGACTGCCAGAGTCTAAATGCTAAGTCTAACACCTATCCGATGAACCAACCGAAAGCTTGTCACCATGGTCGAAAGCTTGTCACCATGGTCGTAAGGTAGTCGACTGATCTAATTTGCTACCGCAGCGACAATATCAATGATTCTCACAACACGTGTTACAAATCACCATAACGTCTTGTCCCTGTCCGAGAACATCCAGTAAAGTGCGGCAGCGGAAGAAGCCTGGTAGTCATGACCCAGGTCTGCCCACCTTCCGAGATTGTATAGGAATGGCAACGGGCCGAAACAATCGTCGACGATGGATCTTTCTACTGTTGATGTGTGGACCCCTGCTGTACTTTATCCCCTGTGGCGTTCGTCTTATTACTGATGAAAAACTTAAAGTAATACAATGTACAATGTTAAGAAAACTACAGTACCACATTGTACATTGATGATGCACCTAAAGTACTACTATCTACGATGTTAAGAAAACTACTGTACACTGATAAGAAACCCTAAAGTATTAAGAAACTTTCTGCACCACGCTGTACATTAATGAGAAGGTACAATAATAGGAAGGTCATTGTGAAGTAAAGCCCTAGACACAGATCTTGGCTAAATGTTACACACAACAAAGTACAGACAACAGACAAAATACTTACCAATATTCAAGAGGGAGGCCATGGATTGGCATAATTCTTTCAGACTAGTTGCCTTCATTAGGTCTTCCACACTAGGATCATTTTGATTGATCGGAAGGATCGCTCTTTCCGATCCTCTTCTGTACATTTCCGCACGGTCTGATCCGCGCCTCATAATCCCAGTTTTCGCCAGGCTCTGATTTTTCTTCAAAGGGCTAATGCTGTCACTTTCTGCTGTTTCCAGTCTAGGAGAATCTTGAAAGGTGCGGTTACTGGAAGATTCTGAGTGTTCGAAATGTAGGACATGTTCTACCGAGTTGAAGACAGTCAATTGTGTGTCAACTAAAAGATGCTCCGCCGATCTGTGCAACCGGGGTTTGACAGCTGCCTGAATGGGTATATGAGTCAGTGCGTGGGTGGGTAGGTGAGTCAGCGCTTGAGTGGGTGTTTTTGACAAGGACTGAGCTGCCTGTTGGACAATGCAATCCATTGTAGATGAGGTACTAGCATCTGAAATAATTGCTGCTTTAGGAGTGGTTGTGTCCTCACTGTCAAGTGTGTTACTTGATTGCTGCTTCACACTGCCATCTCCAACCATGGTCATCAGGCATGAAAACGGTGCAATGTTTGGTGTCTTCAGGAGCTCATTACTCCGCAAAGTAGATTCTCTATCTTTTTTACTGCCTTCTGCTGGTTCTACTGGAGATAAAGGATTTGAAAAGGCAGAACTGACCTGGGAAGCTAAAGGTGTTGTAATTGTGTCTTCTGGTTCCAGTTTGGGGAAAAGATTACCAACAGAAGATTTAGAATCCTTTTCAGAAGCAGTAACATTTCCATGTTCCGGTGTTGATGGTGATTGTTGCCAGCTATGTATTCTGACAGGGGGATCATGACAGATAGGAACTGGGATGTTGGAAAGCATGTGGAGTTTCGAGCCCACAGTATGTTTTTTAATGGGTGTTGGCAACGATGATTTAGACTTGCGACTATGAAAGTGTTGCTGTTTAGCAGGGCTAGTGTTTTCAGATCTCGATGCATGTTTTGTTTCCAGCAAATGTTTCAAGTTACGATCCAGCGACTTAGTGCTGTAAGGAGCAGTAGTTTCTGATAAAAGAGCAAGGTTTGATACTTTGCTTCTGAGTTCAATGGTGTGACCAGACTTAACTTTTCCAGACTGAAAACTCTGGACTTCAGGTGAAAATCTTTGAACTTCAGGTGAAAATCTCCTAACTTCAGGCTGAGATCTCTGGACTTCAGGCTTGTTTTCATGTTGCCTCCAGTTTTCTGTGGCACCATAAGCGTTGACAGCTACAGGCGATAGACTCATGACTGGTTCTGCTGCTAGTTCATCAACAATCACGTTATGCGACCGACCATGTGCAGATGTACAGTTGTCTCTGTTACCTCTTTGGTTCAAGTTGTTCCTCAGGTCACTATACTTTGATTGAGAGTTGCCAGTTGACATTTCAACATGAGGAACTTCTGATTCGCTCTGCGTATGCTTGCGTCTGTTAACCTCAGCTTTTAGTAAAATCCTTGGATGGCCAGCAGATAAAACATCTGTACTTAATGATAAACCTGCTTGATCTTTCTGCCTCTTAGTCACTTGTTCCGGACTAAGAAAGTGAAAGTCAAAATTTTCTGAAGGAAAACTAGTGGCTGGTGCTTCCTTCAAGTCATCCTGATAGACTCCACTTGTGGGTGGTCTGGGACCTACTATGATATCGTCATGTTTGATCCCAGCTTTCTGCTGAAGGATCTCAGAGATGTTGTGGAAACCACAGGAAACATCTGATGTAGCTTTAGTTGCCGACAGAGAATCAGCCGAATTCTGACTTGGGTTGGGTGAGGCTACATCAATTACTAAATCAGCAGCAGTTTGCTTTGAATCATTTGAGTTTATGTTATGGGAAGTCTGTTGTTTAGAAAAGGTTGAAGGTTCATGTGCGATTTCATGTAAATTCTCAGTAGAAGGTAGCACGGTGTAAGTAGTTGAAATAGGTATTGATGCAACTGGTGGGACTGGCTCTTTTATCAGGGAAGTCCTCTGCCTTTTACATTTATGCACATCACACAAGGACGAGTCATTATCAACATGAGATAGTGCCCTACTTTTGTGTGCAGTACTTAAGACTGACAAATCTGGTTTTCTCAGACCTGCGGTCTTTGGTAAGTATGAAACATTACTTCGGAATAGAGCTGTTTCTTCTAGTGAAGCACCTGCAGCACCAATAGAAACCGGACTCATATTGCGCGAACCAGTTAAGGAGTCTTTTCTAAGCGGACTGTAGGGAGACTTTTCCATGTTACTGAAGGACAAACTCCCTTTGTAGGCACTGGTGGAGGATGTTTTTGATAGGTCCTTTAAGAAGGAGCCTGAGGTGTGTGGGGAAGCATATCCTGCAGCAGCTTGACCACTGGAGAAATATCCATGAGAAGATCTGGCCATCTCATCGCCCACTTCCACATCTGATAGCATGTGGTCGGAAGGTTTATAGAAAAATGTTGGTCCATCCTTAATCTCCAAAATGACTAATGATGATGACGGCTTTTCTCTGGAGAAGGATGAAGTCAGTGAACATGGTGACGAGAGATTTATAGGCCGTTTTAAGTGCACTGTTGGTCCTGTTGTGGGACGCTGATCTTCTGTTAAATGAAATTCCACTGGAATAGATCGCTTTTTGCTACTAAACGGGTTGGAAATCACCTCTCCAGGAAAATCTTCAAACCGAGAATCTAACTGCTCAAAATCCAGACCATAAGTATGCTTTGATTGGTGAGATAGCTCTGAAGACTTGGGTTTGGTTTTATGATATCTTCTGCTGTAGGCGACAGTGTCATCACATCTACTGTCAGGGTTTCCTGGTCTGGCTGTCTGTCTCTCTAGTACAGTATGCCCAGATACCCGCACAATGTCCTCAGCACCCTGGCAAATCTGGGCAGGTCTTTTCTTGACACTGGGGCTCAAATCATCTCGGACTCTGTGGCTCTTCACCTTCGATCCAACACTATCTACATCTCTTCCAACAGCCGACTCCAGCTGGTTGTCATACGACTTGGACGGTTTTACCAACACCCTGGCTACACCCCGGCTTTCTCTCACTTTCTTCTGACACCCGTAAATATATGTGACCTTCTCCGGCTGTTCGTAGAGCGCCTCGCCAGCGGCCCACTTCTCTGGAGCATGCTGTACGGCCACATTGGTTTCCATTGCCAGGCTCAGATCTACACCTGGGAATGCCTAAATGAAGAATCCTAAGACGTCAGCAACTTTCTCAACCAGGGAGGCTGGAGTGAGTTTTAACATTCTTTCCTTCACATGGTTATGCTTGCTTGCGTTCCTGCATGGAGAAGAAGGAAAACTGATGTAAGATAATAATAAGACATCCTTTCCATTAGACGGTGCACAACTAACAGGGTGCGTGTCTCTCTCTCTTTCTCTCTCTGTGTGTGCGTGCGAGCCTGTGTGTGTGTGTCTACGGGTGTCTGAATCTGTGCATGTATCTGTGTGTATGTGTGTAAAACTGTGTGTATGTCTATGGGTATCTGTGTGTATGTACAAGCATCTTTGTATGTGTGTGTGATTGTAAGTGGGAGGGGGTGAACATGTGTGTATCTGTGCATGTATCAGTGTGAGGAAGAGGGCGGGTGTAACAGCGGGTGTTTGTGAGTGAATGTGCCTGTGTGTGCTACAGTAAAATGACATCATTTGTTGCCACTGTGTGTTTCTATGTGTGTGCATGTGTATGTGTGTGTGTGCATGCTACAGTAAAATGACATCATGTGTAGCCCCTGTGTGTTTCTCTGTATGTGTCTATATGTGCATGTATCTGAGTATGTGTGTGTGTGTGTGCCTGCGGGCCATGGGGTCTCAGAGCTGTCATATGAGAATGACAAGAGTCAAAACTACAAGGTCCGACAATGAAGTCATGAGAATGATTTTATTATAGCAAAAAAATTGCCATCTAAGAAGCAAAGCATGGAATCCAAAAAGGCAAGCTTCAGCGATGATCTTGCCATTTTTTTATCGTCGCCCGATAAGTACACAACAAACAAGCTGCCATTTTGTTGACCTAGTCAGAGGTGCACTGTTACGTAATCAGCACGGAGCAAAATGCTTACATTAAATTCTGTTTAAAACTCAGAAAAAGCGCCACTGAAATAGTTGAACTGATGTGAAAAGTTTATAGGGATAATTGTTTATCTCGTGCACAGATTTTCAGGTGGTATTCACGATTCAAAAGTGGTGTGGAAATGATTACTAATGCAACTAGACCTGGATGCCGTTAGGAACTCAATGCAAAAGTTAGAGAACGGATACAAGAAGATTGGTGTTTGACTCTGAGGATGATGGCAGATGAATCTGGTGTTAATAGAGATGTTAGATGCAGATCCTTTACAGGACGTTGCAGAACCAACCCCAGCAGACCCTGGCTGTTGTGTGGTTTATCTAGGCAAATTTACGTCCAGTAGTTTGCCACTGCTTTCTAGATGGTCGGCTCCCTGATACAACTGTCGAAACCAACGCAAGGCGCATGGCCTGCAGCTGGGATCGAACCTGGCACCCCGACATTACGAAGCGTTCGCATCGACTTAGCCACAGAGCCGACGATAATAGAGAAACCATATGTAAAATTTTAGTAGAAAATTTGGACCAAAAAAAGGTTCCTCGCCGGTTTGTACCACATTCGTTTTCTGATGACCAAAAACATCAGCGTGTTGAGTAAGCAAAAGACAAAACATGTCACACACACACACACAATTTCTTGAACCTGATGGTTGCTGAGGATGAAACATGGATTTTCCGCTATGATCCCACAATTAAACGCAAAAGTGCTCAGTGGAAGTCATCATTATCACCAAAAGGCAAAAAAAATCCATCTTCAAAAGTTGAAAGTGAAGACAATGTTGGTGTGCTTCTACGACAGCAATGGAGTTATTCACAAAGAATTTATTCCAGAGGGGACCGACTGTCACAGCCACAGTTAATTTAAGTATTTTGAAACGTCTATTGAAAAGGATTCTACGAGTCTGACCTGAGTATTCAACACCTGGCAGTTTTGTTTTTTGTTCTTTATGACAATGCACCAGCTCACCCAGCGGGCGTTAAAAAGGTATTTTTCGCCCAAAAACAAGTGTGTGTGTGTTCTCAACCAGCTCCCATATTTCCCAGATTTGTCTTCCTGTGATTATTTTCTATTCCTAAAATTAAAGTTACCTTTGAAAGGATGCTTGTTTGACGATACTGATGGCATCAAAAGGGCAGTAACAACAACTTTAATGACCATAACATCAGAAGAACTACAGAGGTCGTTCCAATGTTGTTAGATTGTGCCACTCACTGTATCAATGCACCAGGGGCTTACTTTAAATAAATTACAGGTTATGTCTTCAACCGTTGATTATTTAAATTTTTTACAATTATTCTCATTACTTAAATGTTGGACCTTGTGTACTGACTCGACCTGTCCCAGCCTTCTGGAGTACAACCAGTCAAAACTATATTGACCTGACCTGTCCCCGCCTTCTGGAGTATAACCAGTCAAAACTATATTGACCTGATCTGTCCCCGCTTTCTGGAGTATAACCAGTCAAAACTATATTGACCTGACCTGTCCCCGCCTTCTGGAGTATAACCAGTCAAAACTATACTGACCTGACCTGTCCCCGCCTTCTGGAGTATAACCAGTAAAAACTATATTGACCTGACCAGTCTCCGCCTTCTGGAGTATAATCAGTCAAAACTATATTGACCTGACCTGTCCCCGCCTTCTGGAGTATAACCAGTCAAAACTATATTGACCTGACTTGTCCCCGCCTTCTGGAGTATAATCAGTCAAAACTATATTGACCTGACCTGTCCCTGCCTTCTGGAGTATAACCAGTCAAAACTATATTGACCTGACCTGTCCCCACCTTCTGGAGTATAACCAGTCAAAACTATACTCCAGGAACCAAAATCACTAGCGGAGCCCAAATGACTTTAGAAGGTAGGGGAGAAGTAAGCAGGTGGATTGATTGGACGTAAGTCGCATCTGCTTATTCTGCTGCTGATAAAATGTCAACACATGTTAAGCAATTGCTCAGACCACCAATGGCACCAGAACCTCATAGCTCAGGTTTCTTGAAAGCCACCTCCCATCCTCCCCCCGCATCACCCTCTTTCTCCCCCACTCAAACTTTGTAAGGGAACCATGGCTAGAAATCGTCTTTTATACATTTCTTTTCATTCTGTTATATTATTACATTTATTTGCCATTCCGCACATTATTCGTAATCATATGTATTTCTTCTTCTTTCTTCTTGTGTTCACCGGCTGTAAACTCCATGGGAAAGTTATGGTTGTTAGTCCACATCTGTACCCTAGTTTTGTTCCAGAAACTGAGTGTTGCATGCATATCCGTTTCACAGGTCTGAGTCATTTGTATGCAGAGAGTTGGTTCCTTGCCTCTCGTCCAGATGTACTCCGACTTTGGAGGAAGCCTTCAATTAGTCGACTCTCTCTTACGACGTGCTTTTGGGCAGGCAGTTGTCTATTCATGTTTTCCCCGGAACCTATATAAATATACACACACACACACACATTAGGGCTCCACCGAATAGTGATTTTCACTATTTGGTCGAATACAAATAGCGGGATCAACTATTCGGCCAAATATGAATACGAATACGAATAGTGTATCATCATCATTAAGTGCCTTGCCGACTGGCATAGGCAAATATGCCTCGCCACAATCTGCGATCTCCTGCAGCATGTATTAGTTCGTGTGCTGACACACCTCCACGCCATGCAACAAGACTGTCAAGAATCTTCTCTCGTTGTCTTCCTCTATCCCTCCTTCCACAGATCTTTTCAGTGGTCACGACATGTTCCATTTCCCCTCTTCTCATAACATGGCCCAAAAAATTATTACTGTCTCCTTCTGATGTCTGTGATTAGTTGTCTTCGGGCTCCCGCAACTTTCAAAACCGCTTGGTTGCTTTTCTTTTGGCTGTCCAGAGTATTTTAGGCATTGTTCTGTAAAACCACATCTCTGAGGCCTCAAGAAATAGTTTGGCCTGCCTACCGATTGTCCAGGGCTCACAACGCATTGCCTTTAAATATAAGTGCTTACTTGACGAGGCTAACAGTTACTATTGTACAGACCACATTTTCCACTTTAAAATTTCAGCCATAATGTAATCACAACCTTACTTATCTGCTGCACCTTCACGAATACAGATGGAGGATCAGTCGCACCTCGAGATAAATACAAAGACCATTTTTAGCACACTGCGGTTGGCATTTTATGCAGTATGATATACTCTGAGTGTGATACAAGGAAAAAAAAACGTTTTTCAACAGTGGCGAGGAAAGACAATTTAAATTTTAACTTTTAAGTATCTTTATGCCTTCTTTAATAATGTAACAATTTATAGCCGACTTTTTTTTTTATTTTCGCGGCTGCACTCCTGACATTCGCACCCAGTTTGAGAACGTCTGCTGTAATGCCTTGGTCTAGTCAGCAGGCAAAGACTTTGCCAGCTGCTGTACCACGCAACCAGGTCGCAGTTTTCCTCGCTATGACAGACTTAGGCAACAGCAACTATTGTGTTAATGAGAGAGGTTTTTCAGTCCATCGCAGTGTATGCAAAACGGGTGTAAGGTAACCACTATTCGTATTCGGCCCAACCATAAGTATTCAGCCGAATACCAAATAGTTATCAAGTCCACTCTTCAACCCCAAAGCAAATACGAAGCGAATATTCAGTATAGCCCTAATACATATATATATATGTGTGTGTGTGTGTACGCACGCGCGTGCAAGCCTGCTAGAGTGTGTGTGTGTCTGTGTTATTATGACGGAAACGAATGATAACTTAGTCATTTAATACAAATAATTATTGAATGATGTTTGCTATGGCTGGCTGACATGTCTGTGCAGTTTTGATTTTGACCAGAGATGACAAGTGTTGATCAGTCAGCTTTATTCTCTTACACATTTAAAAATTGTGTTTATTTCATGAAGGAAAATAACTGTTTACGCATACAGGTCTAATCGCACATTGTTATCATCATCATCATGTGCCTTGCCAACTGGCGTAGGTGCTCATGCGTCTCCACAGATCACGATCCCTGGTTGACTGAAACAGCTCTTTTGATGATATCCCTCCATGCCATCGTTTCAGCCCATCCAGGATCATCTCTCTTGGTCTGCCTCTACCCCTTTT